GTATTTGGTGCAGCTGTGTTTGATTCAAACGCACAAAAACTCACTAACCAACTGAGTTATGTGATCTAACGAGTGAACAGATGTCTCTTTCTGACATTTTGAAAGTACAAACACATGCTCTCTTCTTTCTGGTTGGCTCTCACTAATGCCTTGCATGCTTCTCCTCATTTAAATACCACAGATCATGTGGGCATCACCACGCTGCTTTTAGAGTTGATGCTTGTTCTCCGGCTGGATAATCCAGAGATCTGGTGAGAAAGCTGTGTGATCCGTGCTTGTTTTTAAGGCTCGATGATGAGGAAATGGAAATCCCGGATCATCGATTGGCTAAAATCAGAAACCTGTCACTTTCAGCTGCCTTGTGCACAACAAAAACGAACGGGCGTGATGTCTACTCCTCCAACCATGTGGTAATGAGCCACACCGGGGTTCAGCTGCAAATGGACCAAGCTTCGTGTTTTTAGCCAGAAAGAGGCCTTCTTGGAACATGTGATCTAAACCGTTCACATGTCGGCATCATCAATAATTCATTGAACGATGGATGGAAGAATTGGTCATCGACTCGCATGTCTTAAACGGGCCTACGATCAGCTCGGCCAGGGCCAGGTGGGGACAGCCCCGCCCTGCGCTGCCAGGCTGTGCTTACATGGCCTTCTGAACAGCGTGGATGTAGCCATGGATGGCTGGGTGATGAAATCACCTTTGATACAGTTATTGTTACAGCCATCACTACAAGTAAGCAGCTCACTGTTGCTGTTAGCAGCTATTTAGCAAACTAGCTTAAAGAGGCCACTCCCATTAAAGGTGTGGACCACTGAAAACCCATTTTTAATGATTATCTCTGATTATAATCGGTCATTTTAAGTTTTTCCTGCAGGCTGAGCATGAAAATAGTCTCCTACACCGATCTCCTGCTTTAGTTTCTGCTAGTAAATAGACGGTGAAACTAGGATTTATAAATCCTGACAGATCTACATCACACTGTCACCAAACATTCATGGACTCACCCATCTTGACTCATGACGGGGAAGGCCGTTGTTGTTTTAACGTCCAGAAAACCTCGGAGAACGTTGTGTCGTGTCCTCTTGCTGTTCTGGCCACTCTTTTAATCATGGAAGGTAAATTTAGATGGGTTCAGGATCTCTGTGATGATTCTACCAGCAGAAGGTTTTGGAGACCACCTTGGTTAATTAGCCTCCAGTGGTCACAGCCCTTTGAGATAGAGGATTAAAGACTATAGGACCACACAGTCTGAGGTCAGAGGTCATCTTGACATAAAAACAAGCTCTAAATAGTTTATCCCACTCAGTTTAACTCCTAATCATCCAGAGTTTAATCTCTGAACTAAATGAAGCAGATTTGTCCATCATCATCATCATCATCATCATCATCATCGACTTTGAGTTAGGCTAAACACATCTTGACTTTGTGTTCAGGATACGGCATTGTTGATGAGTTTGCCCCTCTCTGAGATTTATAGGTTGTCACGTGACTGATTATTACCCTCCCCAGGTCGCTGGAGATGAGATGAGATGTAAAGGGGACAGAGGCATTAGACTGAGGGAATGGAGAGATATTAAAAAGCAACGCTGCAGAGGTGATGGAGAGACGAGTGCAGCAGAAAGAAGGGGAGATGGATTTGAATATGCTGGTGGAAATGAAAGGTCACACAGAAGGAGGAATAAAGTGAAAGATGTGTTTTAGGTGGTCCCGAGTCAGGTCGAGGACCCAGATGTTCCCCGGTGGTCTCTAAGTAGCCTCCACCGTTTAATCTGGATTAATGAGGAGGTTGACCTTTAGCTCCTTTTCTCGCTCCTGCTCTTTCTCCTCAGAAAGAGGAATATCCAGACTTTCAGATCATAATTTTTACTCCTCTTTTTTTTTATTTTTTTTTTTTTTTGTGGCTTCCTCCACCCATTTTCTACCTCACCTCCAGCGTCGGAGGCGTGCTCCGTCTCCTGTGCTCTGCTGAGTGACGAGGCAGAGCTGGGACCACCTAGTCCCTCTTCTCCGTCTGGGTGGTCAGGCCTCGCGGTCCACAGAACACCCCGCATACATATCTGAGACTCCAGTCCATGACTATCCTCAGGGGGTGTCTTCTGAGGCATGAGGACAGACACACACACACAACCACGATGTGTGTTGCCTAATCTGCGGTGAGTGACTCATTCTAATTGGCCAGTCAACAGGTGCTGAGCCCGACTCGAGGGACCGGACAGAGGAGACGCCGTGTACGATTACAGAACAAGGAGGCGGCTATGCTCAAGGCTTCTGTATAATAACTACAGTAGGAGCTGATGTTGAAGTGAGGCTTTGCTGCTCTGGTGGAAAAACGGTCCTAGTGGTGTTCAGCTGGAGCCAGCTTTGTTGTTGGAAGTCACTCGTTTTTAAATAAATGAAGGAGGAGATGAGACACATCTTGGCTTTTCACAGCATTCTCATCAGCTCAAAGCACGACTATTAGATCATGTTTCTTATAACATACCGTTTCATCTGGCCTTATATCGTATTATTTCATATGTCCTCCTTAATATTTTATCTTTCTGTATTATATTTTATCACATCGTTCAATTTAGGAGTCTTTTCCCATCATGTGAAGTAATTTAGTATGACGCTGGATATGTATCATGTATGTATTATGTAAGGTGAAGCTGTCGATCTGCCGGTCGATCTACATTCCTACCCTCACCTATGGTCACGAGCTTTGGGTAGTGACCCAAACAACCAGTTTTCTCCACAGAGTGGCTGGGCTCTCCCTTAGAGAGCGGGTGAGAAACTCGGTCATCTGGGAGGGGCTCAGAGTAGACCCGCTGCTCCTCCACATCGAGAGGAGCCAGTTGAGGTGGCTTGAGCATCTAGTTAGGACCCAGGACACACTAGAGAGACTGTCTCTCATCATTTCATGTTAAATTGAGGCATTTTGTATGATATTGTATCATTTTGTGTCATCATATTCAATCATACGGATTAACATCAAATCATTCTGTGTAACAAATATAGCATATAGAATTTAGGGCTGAAACAAGTCATCAAATGTTTCATGGTTTACTTATTCAAAGCTTTATTAAATGTGCGCTCCACAGGCTGAACACATTTTACTGACGCACAATGTGGTAATCTAGGTGCTGTGGAGTAAAATAGACAACAGCAAAAACTGAAACCTCCAAAGGCTCCAAAGTTTGGGACCAAGAGTTCAACTACGGCCAGTTTGGCTAATGCTAATGCTAGAGCGTATCACGCTCACGATCAAGTAACGTAAAGAAAAATCCAGCAGATTACGTTCATTTGTGGATGTCTGCAGCTGCAGCAGCTACCTGTAGCCTGGTTGACTCGAGTCAGCTCCACACACCACAACAGGTCTATGGCAAGCTGTTGTAGCATGTAATTCACAAACACTTCTATCTTTGAATACAATTTAGACTGGATTATGTTGCCATCCAGTACATAATAAAATAGATAGGCCACCATTACATTGTTACAAATTAAATGTTATTGGCATGTCTCGTGGCTTACTACTGAACATGTTAATTAAATATATTAAGTTCTGCTGATCATATGTGGATATGTTTAGATAAGTGAGATCAATACAAACCTAAAATGGGATTGAAATGTAAGGCACATTTTGTTCCATAAAATATTTATTATTATAAATATCAGCTGGGAAAAAGGGAACCACTTTAATGTGTTTTGAGCCTTTTATACTTGTTTTTATTTTTATATTTTTGGCAGCCGGCCATAATCTCGTTTCACTTGAAAAGTCAAATGGAAAATTCCACCAATCGATGCGATTCGATACTGAAATATTCCTTAGCTGCAGCACTAATCCTATTGTTTTGAGTAACGAAATCACAATTTAGTGTGCTTTAATTATGTAACTATTATCATACCATATCTTATTGTAACATTTATGGTATTTCGTAGTATTTCGTATCGCCTCCTATTGCAACAAATGTTCCCAAGCCTTCGTTGTTTGAAGGGTGGTTCTAACTCCTCGGGGAACGCCTGCACACCAAAACACATTTGGACATTTGAAGAGGTCTACATGACTATCCCATGAAAATAAAGGTGTTTCATTCATTTAGATCTATGATTGTGTCTATGATTCATATTATGACTTGATTTGTGTACCAAACAATCCAAGAACTCTTCTTTCGTGTATTTTCTCGGTGTTGGACCTTGTTGTATCTAGAGAAATGTTTTTGCTCTTCTGGTTGATGGGTCTATAAACGTACCGTAGCCATGAGCTCATCTGGAGACATGCAGGCTGATGCAACGCCTGTATCGCGTCCTGTAGACTCCAGAGTTGTCCATGACAGTAGAATTAGGACCTTCACCTTTTCTCTTTCGTCAGATAGCACACTGTTGTTTGTTACTTTTTCAGATTGAACAATGTTAGGACTTAATTTCTTCGTTTAAGAAGAACATTCTGATCATCAGCTTTGTGTCTCCAAACTGTTTGATTGACTTTTGCAAACTCTTCCAACTAGTTTATAATAAGACTTGTTTACAAGTGGAAGCCCCCGTCTGATGGAAAACATCTGAGTCTGAGTGAAAGGTGAGCAGCCTTCCCTTTTTCCTAGCTCTCCTGTCCTTTCCCTCCGTGGCGGCGAAGCCCCCGTGTCGCCTTACCCCGGGGTTTAGCCCCTAATCACCCGCAGCTAGTGGGAGGGAACCGGAGACTTCCAGCTGGCTGCCTCGTTACTGCACACCCCTGGGACACACTCATTCCTCCACACACACACTAGCTCATATATGCTTACCGAGGAATTCTCTGTTATCTCCTGGCATCTCTCCATCCACGTCCCCCCGACCACTTGATCCTGCCAAGGCCAAAGCCTCGCAACGTAAACCGAAGAACACGAGGAAGTTTTCCACAAAGGAAGGTTGTCTGCTACTCTGAACCGGCTCAAACCGGAATTAGGATTGATCTTCCAACGTGCTGTAAGCCTAAGTCTGCATGTGAAGGCATGCGTTTGTAAAACTTTTTCTTTGTCTTTCAGGAGGGACCTGTACGATTACCCCACACACAGGGGCCCTGTTCCCAGAGATCAGGTGCCGCCCTACCCCGGTCAGTACCAGGACCCTCCCGTCTCTAGTAACGCAGGTCGTTCAACGCTTCCTCAGTCCCAGCAGCCACCGTCCAACGCATGCTACCATCCCTCAGCTCAGCAGCACCGTGCAGCACTAAGGCAGGACGTGCCCCCGTCCCCTACCACAGGTACCAGAGGACGGCCGTATAACGACGCAGATAAAGAGAGACACTACCGCCAGGCGAGCCCAGGACGCTACATCGACTCAGACAGGTACCCCAAGGAGAGCCCTGGCGGCTACCAATACGGAGACAAAAGAGGGGCCGAACCAAGACGGAAGAACGTCTTGATAGACGCCGTGTGAAATCCTAAATCCTTAGATGAAACGGCGTCCTGATTAGAAATGTTTAAAAGGTGCTTGTTTTTAGAGAGGAACATAAAAAGTTTGCATATTAATATATTTGTTGGAGATGGTTGTCCATATGCAGAATTGCCAATGTTTATAACTGGTTTTATAAGTAGAGATGAATAAAATATGATCAAATAAAAAGTTTAGGATATTTAGAGGGAACGTGGTGCCGGGTGGGTTTTGGGTCAAACAGGAGGAAATAAAGAGGAATCAGCGTGGCCAAAAGGAATATCACACAAGAGAAACAGGATGTCCACCAACAGGAAGAGGAAGTCCCTCCCCTCCTCTTGTTTTGTAGTCCTTGATGTTTTTGTCTCCTGAACTTCCTGTACATCGCGCCGGTTCTGTTTGGTCTCCTTACCTTTGATTAAGCGGACGTGGCTAATCCACTGCTTGTGTTTTTGTTAACGTGAGTGATTGCTTTGCTGCTGAGTTCATCAGCGATGTGTTTGTGGTTCTGATGAAGTAACTGTTGACTGCCACGGTAAGTTATGTCACCGCTCTCTGTCTCTTTGCACTGAATAAAGAAATAAATGTTCAACCCTTTAAAATATCAAATGTATGACTTTGGTTGGATAAGATGTCAAATAAATGTGATTTTTCTACCACTTTGCAATAAATATATTGAGATTCTCCTTCTGTGTCAACGTATTTCATTCCAAGAGGTTTTTTTGTTTGTTTCTAGTTTGCTTTTAAGGCAATTTTCATGTTTAGTTTCGTCTTTTGGGGGGGGGGGGGTCATTTCATACTTTTGTGTTTCATATTTTTCAGTTTCTGTATAAATTTTTTATTTTCCTCAATATTTTTCACATTGTTTTTATCTAATTTTCTTTTTTCTGGGTTTGTTTTCCACATTTCATTTTCATTTCTATTCCTTATCAGATTTTTGGATTTCTTTATATTTTATTCCATTTCAAATTGTTTGATATTTTTTACAGTCTATCTTTATTATTTTCATTTTATTTTTTATAATTCAAAGTTAGGTCTCCATTTTTCATTATGTTTCTGTTTTTATTTTCCTAATTTCTCGTTCCAGTTCATATTCCCTTTTTTCTTTATTTCAAACTTCATACATATTTTCCTTTAATTCTTCATTTCATGTTTTTATCTTTCACTCTTGCCTTTTTTTGGTGGGATATTAATACCTGGCTTTGACTTCCTGGTCATGTGTATTTTCTTCTGGTTCTCTGGTTGTGTGTGAGTGAACGTCCAGTGTGCTTTTCTCCCTTCATCCTCCAGATTTATCAGGGAGTGCACATTTAAAATATTCTGTCAAACTACAACATCACGAGTCATCACTTTAAAAATTCATTAAGCCTAATTTCTGTGAGCATAATCTCCAGATAAATTTGCCCTGCCAGATGACTGATAAGAGTAGCCGGCGTTCTGATAACGACTGAATTTCCTCCAACAATTAGAGAAAGGAAAATCTCCACTAGAAAATGATTAACTCCCCAATTTGCTCTCAGAAGTAAAGATGGCAGTGATTGGTGAAATTAGACTCGATATTGGGCGTAATTGTGTGTGTGGAGAGGGCTTTTTCTATCTGTTAATGTTTAATTAGCACCGTAGCAGTCGGGAGCTGACATAGGCCGATCTGAAGTCTCACAAGAACCTTTTCCACCTTTTCTGATAAATAAACACCCAGAGAGGTCCTGTGTCTCAAATTAGATAAACAAATTCTCATTATTGCTCTTTCCTACCCATATTTGTCTTTTAGAAACAGTGATACAATACCTTTCAGAAGCCAAAATAGATAAAAGCTGAGCAAACAAGAAAAGGAAAAAGCAGCTGTTTTATCCTGTGATGACAAAACCAAGGAAATTATTGTTTTGATGTCTTAAACAAGTAAAATACACACACAAAAATCCAAGCATGGGATCTGAATATTCCCTTAAACTGTGATTAAAATGTATGTAAGAGAAATTTACAGCAGACATAATTTCATTTTAACAGGATCTTGTTTTGTCTTATTAAAGAAAAAAATGGGTTGCTGCTGGATGTGCAGTGAAGAAAAAGATCCTGTTAATGTGAATTAGCTTTAATTACCTTCCAGATATTACCCAGTGGAGCAACATTTCACAATGAGAGCGTGTAAAATTACATTACTGTGTGTTTTCATGAATGTGGGAGTCATGAATAATTTAAATAAAACAACCAGATTATAATCCTCTTCGTATCTCAGCTCTGAGTTATTTTGTGGGCATTATTATTTTTTGTGTTCCATCAGTTTTTGCTAGAAAAAAGTAAATTTTGTAAAAAACAAAAGGTTTTTATAGAAGTTCATTCCAGCGTCAGATGGAAGGACAGAGTTTTATGTTAAAACTAAATGTATTCATTTATTCGTTATTGTGTTTACTATTTTTTTTGGTAAATTTTCCTTCTCAGCATGTTTATTTCATATCTATGCTACAACCAAACCGGATGGAATGGTTACTGTTTCAGCCAATCATAGCGCCAGCTCACATCACGTGATCATGGTCCGTCCGGTTCTCAGTAGAGAACGTGGCTGTGGGTCCGAGCTGGTGGATCTGGGCCAAAGGGAACACCTGTTGCAGGTTAGTGGTTAAAACGTTAAATGTTTGTCTCTTAAGAGTTTAAGTTGTTAGCAGCTGTTATAATATATGAACGGGTTGCTATGCTAGGCTAAGCTAATAGCTAAATAAGCTAAGAGGTCATTAGCAATGATTTATGCTGCCTTTGTAGTTTACTTAGTTTCAAACGCTTTTAATATATATACATATATGTAAATGGATATATGTATTTTTATATATGTACATGTGTGTATATATGTACATATATGTACATATATATATATATGTGTGTGTGTGTGTGTGTGTGTGTGTGTGTGTGTGTACATGTGCATATATATATATATATATATGAATGGCTCACCCATCTTGCATCCATGCTCGCAACAGGGAAGGCTTTTGTTGGTTTAGCGTCCAGAAAACTTAAATAAACGTCTCGGCTAGCAGAAGCTAACTGTTAGCATTAGCAACTCAAAAACAAAGCAGAAGCTCCTCCAGGCTTCTGTTATTTGTGGAGATAAATCATCAAAGTCGCAGACTACCACTTAGTCGAGTTGCTGTTAACCAATCAGAGGCAAGATGTCAAAAAAATCAGGAAATAAGACTCGAAATCTTGCTGTCTGCTGCCACTCTGCTTCAGTGGACTTGTCTGTGCTGATCCAGACGCTTCTGGGATTTTTTTTCTCCTAAGTACGACTTGCAAGGCATTCAGTCCTGCCAGAGACCACTGCAAAACTATTGTTTAAACTAGTGTTCAACACCTTTAAGATACAAAGAGCTGAGAGGACTTCAGATTTTACATCAGTGTCTATAAAGAGTGCCATTCATCTTAAGCACCTTTAAAAAAAAATGAAAATCCGAACTTTTCCATCAGTCTAGAGGCTTTCAAACCCGTAGTGAAACAGAAGCTTCAGGCCGTTGCTTCCAGCAGTAAGACGGCCCATGTCTTGGGCAACACAACTTAGAGCACTTACGCTGACTTGAGCAGCTCTTTGCTGTACTTAAAAGAATTACTATACAGTAAACAGCACCCTTCAAGTGCTTGTGGTCGAGTCTCCGCCAACAATAATAAACAGCAGCAACTTAATGTCCAGGAATTAATTGCACTTTACATCCATTAACCACAGGCTCTGAGCTGCTAGTCGGGCCTCCTCAGCAGTAACAACCGTCTCACTGAATGTCTCACTCCACTGTTTCTGTCATTAGTTACAGTCTGTCTGCGGGTCTCCCTGTTTCGTTCATCCAGGAGGAATTTGTTACTTCAATCACACGACACACTCGCTCAGAATGGATGCGGTCACGGCCGTTGAGTTGCTGACAGACATATTTTCACGCTTCGTATCAACTCTGAAGAATTTTTCATTGTTTGACCTTTTGATTTCAAGGAACACCAGACCCTTCCTTAATAGCCATTTATCTTCCTCCTGCACCCATCCTCCTTTTTTTCTGTTTGATGATTTTTTTTGTTTTGCTTTTGCTGCTGTTCTGTAAAAAAACACCAAGAGGTCTGTTCTCTTCCTCGGTCGATTGTCTTGAATCACGGGGTTGTGGGAGAATTCCCCGGTTAGGTTCTCTTGGCATTACCTATTCCGCCGGCGCCCTTGTTGAACACCTCGGCTTGTTAGCATGTGTCAATCAAAACGCGGCGCTCCTGAGAGGGCAAAGTGGAGTGCTGAAGCAGTTATCTGTCTCCTGCACAGCTCCCAAAAAAGACTGTGGGAGCAGTGCAGGAGTGTGTGTGTGTACAGTAGATACCAGAGTGTGTGTGTGTGGGGGGGGGGGGGGGAGACGAAATGAAGTGATGGCCCACTTTGACCTCAGCCTGCTCCCGTCTCCCCCACTTCTCATCCTCTTCATTAAAGGCACATTTCACTGTATTGTCCTTTCGTCCTTCACTTTCTGCCATTTGTTTCAATCTGGCTTCATTTAGGCATCATGGGCTCATGTTTAGTCGGAGCGGGACGAGCAAAGCCTCTCATTTGATTATACAGTTCATTAGAAAGCCGGCCTCCTTTTTTCTAGACCACGGGAATAAGCTGGTGGCTAATGTGTGGTTCTAATAGGCCGAATATGGAAATTGGCTGGAGTATGGATTACCGGTAGCCGTTAGCCTGCCCTTCACCCACCTCATTCGCTTTTATGTCGGCTGTGTAGCCTTTTGATACAGTATCACTCAGGCTGGAGTGTGTGCTTTCAGCCAGTGTGTTTGTTTGATATTGTTCATGAACTGTGAAATTGAATTTCCACAGTCGGGCTGATATTGAGAATAATTTCATATCCCTGTGCAATATTCTTGCTCGAGTTCACCTTGTGCCGTGTGTTTAAAACGCATCCGTTTTCGACCCGACGTCCCTTTCTTCTATTCTTTTCTTGCTAAATTGATTCAGAGGTGCTGTTGATTTAGACTGCATTTATCCCTAAAGAGATGCTGGGTTTCTGCCGGCTGCCTTGTGGCATTCGCCCACACACCACACCACAGCTCTGAGCTACCAGCCGATATCTCTTTACACCGACCGTAGCCATGACAACGTGGCCTCTGCCAGTCCCGGCGCAGCAGCCCGTTTTGGGGCTGATGACATTGTCTCTGCAACAATGAGACGTTCGTACATCCCATTAAGGAAAAAAAAGGGTCACTGAGCTTCCGACACCTCTGATTCTGTAAAACCTTTTGTCAGATATGCTAATGTCCCTCATACCTTCTGGTACCGCATAATGTTGAATGCCACTTATTTGTATTTTTTTACACTTTCGTGTTTTGGACCAGACAAAAATAGTCAATACAAAATGCAGTTTTCACATGATGATAACGCTGTTCAAATCAGCCTGGCCCTTTGGTAAATCATGATTAGCAACAATAATTTAGAAATCTTATTTTATTTCACATGCTGAGCCCAGGCCGGAGTTTTCCCCTTTCAGAACTTATGTATGATTTTTCAGAAATCCATAAAAGTGATTGTCTCATCATGTAGTGTTATATAATGTAAGCAATATGTCTTTTATTTATCTATTTATTTATTTTTTGCTAAGCATGTCCCCTGCCTCCATGCAGTAGGAAGCTGAGCGCCGACCAGAACTAACAATAACGTTAGACTACGGCTTACGTG